GCTGCGCGGTTTCCCCTCACCCAGCGGACCGCGCAGCGGCGCGCGGGCGCGCTCCCGGTGCCCTACCCCTTGACGTGCCTGGCCGAGGCCGCGCAAGGGCGCTGTAGCTGCCAGTGCCGCTGTCATGGCGTCGGAAGCGCTGGCTGAGGAGAACCCTCCGCGGTGTCTTTAGAGCAAGGGGCGGGCGGCTGGGGATGGAGAGCGGCCCCGAGAGCCTGCAGCCGCTGGAACACGGGGCGGCGGCCGGGCCTGCGCCAGGCACAGATTTTCCGCCGGAGGGGCAGCTGGAAAGCCGGCTGGCCGCTGGGGATGGTCCTGGAGTATGGGCGGCGGAGAGCAGCGGTGGGAATGGGCAGGGGGCGGCGGCCGCCGGGAGGAGCCTCCCGGACTCGGCTTCTGCCGCGGACTCTCCTCAGGTTCCCGGACCCTGCAGAACCTGCCCAGACTTGGACTTGAAGGAGAGCGATTTGGAGAGTCCTGTTGCCCAGAAGGCGCCTCTGAGAGGGCAGCACAAGGTGACCGTCTCTCCGGACACAGCCGAGGCCGGAGCGGGCCGTGGGCTAGGTCCGACGGGAGTCTCGGCCGCCCGCCCGGATCGTGCAGGCACCTGCCGGGTCGAATCGGCGGCCGCTGGCTCCGGGGAGCCCTGCTGCGCCGGCGGCCTCAGCAGCAGCTGCAGCGACCCGAGCCCGCCAGGGGAATCGCCGAGCCTGGACTCCCTGGAGTCGTTCTCTAACCTGCATTCTTTCCCCAGTAGCTCCGAGTTCAATAGTGAGGAGGGAGCGGAGAATAGGGTCCCAGAGGAGGAGGAGGGCGCGGCGGTGTTGCCCCGGGCTGTTCCTCTCTGCCGGGAGGAGGAGGAGGTGGAGGAGGAGGAGGAGGCAGCTCTGGTGCTGGCGGCCTCCAAGGACCGTTTCCCGGGACAGTCTGTCTATCACATCAAGTGGATCCAGTGGAAGGAAGAGAACACACCCATCATCACCCAGAATGAGAACGGACCCTGCCCTTTGCTGGCCATCCTCAATGTTTTGCTTCTGGCCTGGAAGGTACTTTCTGCAGCTGTTTCCTACTCGTTTTGGGGAGGGGGAGAAGGGATGAGGTAGCTGCTGCCTGTCATCTGATGGCTCCCTCCTTTCTTTCCTCATTAACCCTTTCCTTCTTACATGAAATTCATTTTAGGACTCCCTTGTTGAAAAGCCATACCTCTGTATACACTAGCAGGAACTACTGGCTGCTTCACATCGCCCCGGTGGTGTTGAAAGTTTGTTCGGTTGCGGTTGTATGACTTACAAGAGCTAGGGCTTGGCGCATCTTAAACCTTCTGATTAAATGTTTAACTGGTTTTTTTTTCTATATTACCTCTAATCGATTTTGAAATATGCAAAAAGAGGAGGATGAAGGTGGAGTGGTGATCTTCAAAGTTAACCTCAATTCATGTAGCAAGTTTTGATGGTGATATTTAGTGACTTTCTAACTCATGCTTGCTCTATTTGGGTGTGAATACTTTAGGAAATGATGATAGGGAAGACGTGACCCTTTAGACTAATTCCATTTAAGGAAAAACATTGGTGTGAAATACAGTTACCATGATTTCTTGGTTTGGGAAATTTAAGTTTTCATTTTATGCATAAGCATTACTTGTCTCATTCCTTTGGTTCTACTGGAAGGGTTTGGCATCATTACCAGTAATCATGCCTCAGCATGTGTTCAGGTAGCTAAATTTGTAACAACTAAGTAAGAGACATATCCAACATAGAAGAGCAAAAAGGGGGAGAATTCTTCAAAGTGAAGTCTCACAGTGAGTTACCTCTAATTGAAGTGTCTTGTTTAAGCTTTCAATTAGGATGCTGGGAAGATGCATCTTCTAGCACATATTTTATGTTAAGATTGAAAATTATGTGTAAGTACAGTGTTCCTTCCCTCCAAGGGGGTGGGGGGAACATAACCTGAATTATCCTGACTAGATAGGAAAAAAATAAAGAAAATAGTATTTTTTACATGTTTCTGGCTTACCATTACTAGTAAGGAATGCTTTTTTTTATTAGAAAATTTACCATTATCTAATGAATAATAATGCAGAAGTGCCTTGAGTGAGGTCAGTGCCTGCTCTTGAATTGTTTAACTATTAGGGGTTGCATCACTGACTTATTTGAAATTATTAAAAATAAGTTTGTACTATAAGATAATACTTTAAGTATGAGCTTATAGGAATGGATTGAAGTATGTTAGATATCAAAAGAATGGGAAAATTTCCTTTGGTCTGATGTGTACATCTTGAACCACATTTGCAAGGAAAAGTAGAATTTAAAATAACAAATGGAATTCCTGGGAAAGGGATTATATAAACAGAAGGAATGAATATTGTGTGTGTTTATTGGATGATAAGGGGGGAAATTAATCAGTGAATAATAAAAGTGAGGAGGAAAACTGAAGGGCCATTTGTTGGAGGCAGTTGCTTTTCAGAGCTTAATTTAAACCTCTGGACCAAATTTCCCAATCTTTCTCAGGAGAAAGTAACTGTTAGTTTCTTAGCTTCTTGTAGGCTTTTCCCTCTTAGTTTCCATATAGTATTGCAGAAGTTTAGAGGATGGAGCAGGTAGCATGACTTGGAATAATTGGGGATAGTCAAGAGTTTACATGCAAAATGCTAGAAATAAGAAATATATAGATGCAAGTCTGCCTTCATGTAGCTCGCTATCTTGTAGAGACAGACATATACACAATAATTGCAAGGCAATGTAGAAAGTTCCAAGTGTGCTGTGAAATTTCAGAGAAAGGGTAACTAGGATGGGGTTTGTCAAGAGGAGGCTTCATAGAAGAGGTAACAGGTGAACTGCTTCTGAAGGATGAGTAAGAAAATGCCTTCCAGGCAGAGAGATTAGTGTACTCAAAGATAGCGATACAGAAAATGTTTTGTAAAATTGATAGGTTGAGCAAGCATAATAATGAAAGACGATTTTATAAATCTGTTGTTCTTAGTCTTCCTGTTGCCAAGATATTGATGGACATAAAATTATTCATCAGTAATCATGATAGATAGGGAGACTACCAAGTTCTGATGTGTGTTTGTGTATTCTTGTGTTTAAAGTTTTTGCCAATTTTGATTTTTGGTATGCTAGCTGTTGATAGATGTAATCCGTGTACACAAAAGCTCTTTAGGGTCCTCAGTCATTTTTAGGACTGTAAAGGGTCTTGAAATCAAAGTATTGAAAACTACTGTAGAAAAAGTAGTAAATAAGAAGGTAGTTGAGGGCCCTCCCTGGTGGCGCAAGGGATTAGGACACAGCACTGCAAGCTGGCCACAGCCCTTCAGTGCCAGTTAGATCCCAGGCCCCGGAGGTGATCCATAAGCGGAGATGATCCACAAGCTGGCAGATCTCTCCTGACCTGACCGCTGCTCACCTCAGCAGTGTACTTTGTCGACCTTCCTGTTCTGCTCCCCACTCTGTCTTTGGTGAAGCCTCTCACTGCCCCTGAACCTCTGGCCTGTACTCCAGTTCTGTATGAATAAATAAATAAATCTTAAAAAAAAAAAAGGTAGTTGAAAGATTTCAGAAAACCTATCACTAGGGATGTTTAAACTTATATATAAGGGGTTAAATCTCAGCACTATCATGCTATATTGCTCTCATCTGTATATTGCTCCATTCTTACCACGAAGCTAACTCACATGTGGCACAGCAGATCTTTGCTATCTGGCCCCCTGTTTCTCTTAACAGTGTATCTCAATAAATCCACCTCTTCTGCTCTTCTCTCTGTCTCTGATGAATCCTATTGCCACTGCATCCTGCCCCCTTCCCTTACACCTCTGGCTTATACCCCAGTTCTTGTGTGCATAAATAAATCTTTGAAAAAAAAATTTCCTAATTGCTCTTTAAAAAAAAAAAAGAAAGAAAAGAGGTACAATTATAGTAAGTCTAGCAAGAAAAGTAAGTGAGGATAGTTTTTTGGATGGGAAATTCCTTTCCTCTTTGATGAGGATAGTATGGCAGCCCAAATGAAAGTCTGATCACTTAACTGGATATAGGAAAAAAAAGAGATGAAACATTTGTTCTAGTGTGGATAATAGAGATTGGTTGGGTTATTCAAGAGATAGGAAAGATACCTTACATGGGAAAGTTGATGTTAGTGTGTTAGTGTTCAGTTGTGTCTGGAAATGTCTAACAGTGGAACATAAAAATGTAACTGTTACAACACAAGAAGCATAGACTGGATCTCACAAAAGAGATTAAGATTATAGAGAATTAAATTGGGAAATTACACCATAAACTTAACTATGGTACTTATGAGAGTGGTGAGCAATAGTTCTTAACATTTTTCTACCCCCATGTATGTCAACAACCCCAAATTGCCAATACAAACATCCTCCCTGTCACTTATTTACCCATTCTCTTACCTCATTTTCTAGCAGATAATGAGAAAGCATGAATAAAGATTAAACTCGATGGAGAGAGGAAAATATTAAGTATTAAGGGTAAAAGTGTAAAAGAAACTAAAAAAAGGAAGGGAGAAGAAGAAACAACATACATATGTGTAAATGAGAGAAATGGGACACTGTTTTGATAGTAGTCTAGGAGAGATATTAATAAAAAGTGATGAGTTATTTATTGGATGCAATAAATAGATCAAGGGGTTGGTAAATAAAAGTTTTTGCCAAAAAGGACAGAAGTCAGAACAAGATTGCTGAAAAGTCAGGTTTATATAGAGTCCTCAGAATAGGTAATAAAATTACCATCAAAGGAAAGGAGCAACAAACTCATTTTCTGACATACTAGAAGGAATGGAGTAAGGTGATATAGAGACAAAATCATGTTAAGATAGAGGCAGTTGGGAAGAGGCTTCGTTCTCCATTTTGGCAGAATAACAATTGACTTCATCAATAATAGCTACTGAATTTGAATTTGTCAGTAATTAAAGAGAGAACTTGTGAAAGCATGGATAGGGTGGATTTTGTGAGAAAAAAATATGTTGTATTTTAAAGAACTAAAATCACTGGAGATTATTGCCTAGAAATTTGAAGCGTAAGTATTAATTTTAGTACCAGTAGGTAAATTGGAGTTTTCTTTAAGAACTCTTAATGTGTCAACCTTGCTTTGTTTTGGGTTTTCTCTAGTAGTTCTTTTATACCTGGAAGTGGGATCAGAAGAATGGCTGGTTGTGGTTTTAAAGATTGGGTTTTTCAAGGAGTTAGATGGAATTAGAGTTGAAAGTGAAATAGTTGATCCTCTTTGAAAATTAGTAAAATGAATTATTTGGGAAGATTTGAGTGATTCAAAGAAAATACCATGGTTTGGGATGAGAGTTGATAGTTAAAATTTGAAACAGGGTTAAGTGCTAAATTGGAAATGTTGGAGTTTTAATGAAAAAAGGTGTTGGTTTTGAACCAATGGAGTCTATATGATTGTTCATTATTTGCAAATAGTGGGCCTGTGATAATACTATTTGGATAATAATATCCAGACTTGTGTCTTGGAATATATTTTTACTGTAGACTATATTTGCTTTTATTTATTGTTTAAGCTTTCATTTTATCTATCAAGATTAGTGCCATTTATAGGCACATTTGAGGCCTATGAACCATTTAATTAGATGTGTATAAAAGTCAAGTCAGAAAATATATAACATATAAAATCGTTTATAATGAAACTGGCTTAATGTTGTAAATGTTGGAGCTGAATGATGGACACTTGGAAGTTTTGTTTTGTTTTTTAAAGATTTTTTTAAATTTTATTTTAAAGATTTATTCATTTATGCATACCAACACTGGGGTACAGACCAGAGGTGCAGGGGTGAGATTGTTCACCAGAAAGAGTGGGGAAAAGAACAAGCAGGTTGACTGAAATACACTGCTGAGGGGAGCAGTGGGTAAGACAGGAGAAGACTGCCACACCATGTGGGTCAGCTCCCTGACCGGGGATTAAACTCGTGCTGCAGTGTTTTCAGGTAGCTTCACAGTGCTGTGCTTTAACCCATTATGTCACCAGGGAGGGCTAGCACTTGAAAGTTCTTTATGATAATTTACTCATTATTGAGAATGGTTGAAATT